AATTCACGTGCATCAAAAATGAATTTTGTTTTTTTCGCTTCAATGATTATGTACATTTTGCTACTGGCATTTGTTTATACGAGAACATGACATTTAAAAAAAATCATTTTCAAATAACATTCCTAATGATTTTATTTATAAAAATGTATAAAACTTGTACAATTATAAACCTAGTTTTGTTGTTCATCTGAAAGTGTACGTGAAAAAATTTCTTAGCAATCGTGAAAAAATTGCTTCATTGTGATTTAATGTAAACGGTAGGTATATCAAATTTTTTGATAAAACGTTACAATATGGAAAAATAACACAGGCACACAAAAAAAAAAAGTTGTCTGTTTCTTGAACTACACATATATTTCCTATAGTATTTTGGCCCGCTGAAACCGAATCTGAGCTCAGAATTGCTCCATCACCCTCAGTTTTTTTTAAATCGACCAAAACCACCCTGAAACGGACAAATTCACACTTCGGAGATAAAAAATAAATCAACTTATTTTTTAAAAAAACCAAATTTTACATCTACGAAACTTTGCTCCACTAACTCAAAAACAAAGCCAGCATTGATCCAGCACCCCCTGAATTTTTTTTAATGAAAAAACTACCCCTAATCTGAAGAATCAAATTCAGGTGGTAAAACAATAAAATAACTAATTAAAAAATTTTATAACCAGGTATTTTTACTCCAGCAAGGCAGAAACAAAGCCAGAAATGCTCCCTCACCCTCTAAAATTTTTTTAAATCGAAAAAACCACCCTTAAATAGAAAAATTCAAATTTAAGAAGTAAAAAAATATTAAATTACCGGCTTTTTTTAAAAACAGAACCTTACATGTTTATAGTTTTGCTCTACTAACTCAAAAAAACAAAGCCATCATTGATCCAGCACCCCCTGATTTTTTTTAATCGAAAAAACTACCCCTAATCTGAAGAATCAAATTCAGGAGGTAAAACAATAAAATAACTGATTAAAAAATTTTATAACCAGATATTTTTACTCCAGCAATGCAGAAACAAAGCCAGAAATGCTCCCTCACCCTTTAAAATTTTTTTAAATCGAAAAAACCACCCTTAAATAGAAAAATTCAAATTTAAGAAGTAAAAAAATATTAAATTACCGGCTTTTTTTAAAAACAGAACCTTACATGTTTGTAGTTTTGCTCTACTAATTAAAAAAAATAAAGCCAGCATTGACCCATCACCCCCTGAATTTTTTTAATCGAAAAAACTACCCCTAATCTGAAAAATCAAATTCAGGAGATAAAACAACAAAATAACTGATTGACAAATTTTATAAGCAGATATTTTTACTCCAGCAATGCAGAAACAAAGCCAGAAATGCTCCCTCACCCTCTAAATTTTTTTTAAATCGAAAAAACCACCCTTAAATAGAAAAATTCAAATTTAAGAAGTAAAAAAATATTAAATTACCGGCTTTTTTTAAAAACAGAACCTTACATGTATGTAGTTTTGCTCTACTAACTCAAAAAAATAAAGCTAGCATTGATCCATCACCCTCTGAATTTTTTTAAATAAAAAAACTACCCTTAACCTGAAGAATCAAACTTAGGAGGTAAAACAATAAAATAACTGATTAAAAAAGTTTATTACTAGGTATTTTTACTCCAGCAATGCGGAAACATACCTGGCTGTAAAATTTTTCAATCAGTTATTATATATTGTATTACCTCCTGAATTTGATCCTTCAGATTAGGGGTAGTTTTTTCGATTAAACAAATTCAGAGGTTGATGAATCAATGCTGGCTTTGTTTTTTTGAGTTAGTAGAGCAAAACTACAAACATGTAAGGTTCTGTTTTTAAAAAAGCCGGTAATTTAATATTTTTTTACTTCTTAAATTTGAATTTTTCTATTTAAGGGTGGTTTTTTCGATTTAAAAAATTTTTAAAGGGTGAGGGAGCATTTCTGGCTTTGTTTCTGCATTGCTGGAGTAAAAATATCTGGTTATAAAATTTTTTAATCAGTTATTTTATTGTTTTACCTCCTGAATTTGATTCTTCAGATTAGGGGTAGTTTTTTCAATTAAAAAAATTCAGGGGATGCTGGATCAATGCTGGCTTTGTTTTTGAGTTAGTGGAGCAAAGTTTCGTAGATGTAAAATTTGGTTTTTTTAAAAAATAAGTTGATTTATTTTTTATCTCCGAAGTGTGAATTTGTCCGTTTAAGGGTGGTTTTGGTCGATTTAAAAAAAAACTGAGGGTGATGGAGCAATTCTGAGCTCAGATTCGGTTTCAGCGGGCCAAAATACTATAGGAAATATATGTGTAGTTCAAGAAACAGACAACTTTTTTTTTTGTGTGCCTGTGTAAGGAAACCTATGTGGGAGTGCAAGGGAAATTTTTTTGCAAAACTTTATATGATCCTATTTAGGATCTCATATGAATTCCTATGAGGGAATCTATGTGAGAGTGGAAACAAAATTTTTTCCGAACATTTACAGGATCATACGTAGGATCTCATATGAATTTATATAAGCGAACTTATGTAGGAGTGCAATTAAAATTTTTTCCAAACCTTTATAGGATCCTACGTATGATTTCATATTAATTCCTACAGGGGATACTATGCAGGAGTTCAAGCAAAATTTTTCTAAACCTGTACAGGATCATACGTAGGATCTCATATGAATTTCTATAAGCGAACCTATGTAGGAGTGCAAGTAACATTTTTTCCAAACCTTCAAAGGATCCTACGTAGGATCTTATTTTAATTCTTATAGGGGAACTTATGCAGGAGTGCAAGCAAAATTTTTTCCAAACCTTTACAGGATCCTACGTATAATTTTATATGAATTCCTATAAGGAAACCTATGTGTGAGTGCAAGTGAAATTTTTTTCCAAAACTTTATAGGATCCTATTTAGGATCTCATATGAATTCCTATGAAGGAATCTATGTAAGAGTGGAAGGAAAATTTTTTCAAAACCTTTATATGATCTTACGTATGATCTCATATGAATTCCTATAGTTCATCTTTATAGGAATTCACATGGGATTCTGTGTAGGATGCTACATTCCAAAATATCTCATTTCTATAGGAGACCTATAGGATTCTTTATGGAAACCTATAAGATTAATCCCATAGGATTTTTCTTCGTGGGAATCTACATGGGTTCCTATAAAGAATACTATAAGAATGTATATGAAATCCTTGTAGGATTTTATGTAGGGACCCATGTAAGATTTTCCAGTAGGGTCCTGTAGCACGTCACTTGCGTAGAGGCTTTAATGTTTCAGCATTTCAGCAAGTTTTAACAAGTTTTGTTTCTTCGATTCATTTATTTAAACCGGTGTCTCTGTGAGTGTTTGCTTTTAATCGGATATATCAAATAAGGTAAGATAAATTACAGATTATAGTTATTTAATAACATTACGGTAGTAAGTCAGATTATGTGCACCTTAATTAATTCAGCAATTTTAAATATTTTGCTAAAAAATGCTACTTCTAGATTTTTACTTGTGCATGTTACAAGTTCAGTTTCCAGGTTAGTTTTTTTTTACAATTATTTTTAAATTTTTAAGTATGATTAAAAATAAGGCTATTTTTTGTTTAAAAAAATAATTTCTTTGAATTTTATGATATTATAAATTGTACTATTTAAAATTTTAATTTTTAATAATAAACCTCCACATAGATCAATGTCAATGTCCGAAGAAGAAGACGATGGATGTGCATACCAATTGGTTTCCTTTCAAGGATATGAAGATCCTGAAGGGAAAAAGCCAATCGATATTGTATTGGCATCGTGGATGACGTAACAAAGAAAAAAAAATATTTATGTGACAAAATTTGCTCCGCCTCCTTATACTCCTTCAGTGAAAAAAGAAATAAATAATTTGCTAAAAAATTATTCACCTGCACCAGAGATTTGGCCGGAATACCAAGTTTCATTTCATGGAAATGCAAGTAAGTTTTTCTTATTCAATTACCAAAAATAATTTTTATGTAATATTTTAGATGTAATAAAAATTTAAATATCATTAGTTTATACTGAAACATAATCTAAAATAATAAAAAAAAATAATTAAAATAATAATAAAAAATAATTATAACGGTATGATAATAATAATAATAATAATAATAATAATAATAATATGATAAACTAAAAATTCAGGGTGGTCGCAAGTCTGGGAAAAACCGAAAATCAGAGACAAGTCAGGGAATTTTAGTAGTCAGGGAATTTAAAAAAAATCTTCAGTCAGGGTATTTTGATCCAAAGGAAAAAAGGAAATTAAATATCAAGTTTTTTTTGAAATTTTAAACAAAATTTTAATTTTTCTGTTTTTATTTTTTAAATAAAATTATTACTTAAAAAATAATATAAAAATTTTAATAATTGGAAACTTTAATTAACTTTTTATTTAAAGAATACTCTTGACTTATCTAATTTAACAAGAAAGATTTTTTGACAATGTATAATAATTCAGGAAAATTTTTTAGGAACTTTATCAGAAGCTAAGAAACGGTTATTATTGTTGGAAACAAATGAATTTGTGTACAGTAGTGGAGCTGAAATAAATAAAAAAGTAAATGCTGCAAAAAGGCGAATTCAATAAAAAAAAATCAATTTATCAGAAGATGAAGAGAATTTAATATTAAAAGTGCCTGATATAACCGCGAATATAGAGGAAATAAATAAATCTGTCTCAGGTAAACGATTGAAAATAATTCTGTTAAGTGTTATTTAAATTACATGTTAAAACTTTTAACATTTATTTTCCATTAATTTCTTTTTATTTCCGTTCGAATTTTATGTGAGTTTTCTTTACATGATACGATTCTCTTTTCTGAATTTTTTAAAAGCAAATATATTTCAAAGAATTTTAAAAAAATTAAAAATTAATTTAAAAATTTTGTTAACCATTAAGTTGCAAAGAATTTTTGTTATTTATGTCTTTTTCAGTCTTAAATACTTCTGAAAATAAATCAGAATGTACACAAGAAGTATACATAGAAAATCCGAGTCCAAATACTCATACAGGAACTATGAAAGCAACTTTGCATACGAAAACAGCAGGTAATTAAAAAGCTAAAATTAAAAAAAATGTGTGTAAATTTTTATTATATTATATAATTCTTTACATTTAGTTTGAAAGATAAATGCAACTAATATTTCTAATTACTAAAAATAATTATTTTCATTAGATTTACCGAGTGCATCAGCAGATGATGCAGATTTTTCTTGGGATGATGATAACGAGGATGATGATGATGAGGATGATGATAATGAGGATGATGAGGATGATTATTATGATGAAGAGAAAAGAAGCAAAGTCCAAAAAATGTTGAATAATAAAAACAATTCAAATTATGATCAAAGTTAGTATTTTATAAAAAATGTCAGGTTTAAATTTATTTTACCTTACACATTAATATATTTCAAAAATTCATATAAATTTTTATTTCTAGCTGTTCCTCCAATCTCTAAAAATTTAACAAAGGAAAAATCTAAAGATAAGGTGATTAGTGGAAAAAATCTAATACCACTTTCAATTAAGAGAAAAAGAGGTATGGTTTATATTTTTTTATGTACCTCATTCTTCAATAGTTGAAATAGTTTACATTACTAAAAAGATTATTATTTCAGACTTCGAAAATAAGTCTGAAAACTCGCATAATGGGCAAGAAATTCATGCGTCATCATCAAAGGAAACCAAAAGTAAATACTAATAACTTTTCTGAATTATCATTAAATTATATAAATAAATGATAATAAAAATAATAATAAATCTATACATAACATTACAAACAGTAAATTTTATTGTTTGTAATGTCATATATTGAATATTTTTTTGTTAATTATTTTAGGACTGAAGATTCTCGAGCCAGAGGACCAAAACTTAAATATTTTTTCACCCAACATTTCTTCAAAGGAACAAGGTAATATAAATATAAATTCTTGTATATTAATATTTTCTAAATTTTTTAAACTATATTAGGATGTTTTTTATATTTTGCAGAAAATCCTTTTTTACTTCAATCGAGAATACTCAAAGGATTGCACGTACTACATTTATCAAGTAAGAATAACTCTCAGCAATTACGTGAAATTAAATCTATGTTAGTAGCATCTGGAACCAATTTTGACCTACCAGAGAATTTTGCAGAAAAATATAATATTGTTTTGCCTTTTGGAACATTAAGCGAGTTTCAATCTATGGATAAGGACTTAAAATCAAATAAAACATTTCGATACGAGTTTGTAAGTATAAGTATACTTAATAAACAATGTAACAAATTTATACTACTATAATACTTATAAAAATATATTTAACAAGACAAATTAATAAATCGTCTTTTTACAGAAACAAACTTTGCACACTCTTGTTGATAAACAAAAATCACTGTCTCGAACTTTTATTAACATTCTAAAAATGTATTTTTCCCGAGACGTTATACTTTTATTCAATGCTTCGAAAAAAAACGATTCTAAGCAGCAAGTATTCAAGGACACCGACTTTTATAAGTCTATGTTAGGTAAGATTCATATATTTGTTTACCTTTTATAAGTTATAAGGGTTGCTACGGTCAGGGAAAACCTGAAATTGTCAGGGAATTTTAAAATTTTGAAATCGTAGCAACCCTGTAATTGCACCTTGAAATTAGGAAAAATTTAATCTAACATAAGTATTGATATTTTTTTAGATTATATAACTAAACTTTGGAAGTTGAATGGAACAGAATTATCAGAAAAAGAATTTCTGAAAATACTTGGCCCAGTCATTACAAATGCCACCGACTGGGATGGACATCGTTCTTCTAGACCAAAGAAAATTAATTTAAATGAACTAGAAGTAATCGTTTTGAAAGATCAAACAGACATGGAAACTGTATAATTTGAATACCAGCTAGTTTCTGCACATTTTTTCAAAAACTTATTTTTTTTAAATTTACATAATTTATTTTAAAAAATTCGTCATAAATCGAAGTAAATATAAAATATATGTTATGTTTAGTATATATATATATACACTACCGTCCGAAATTGTGCGAACTCTACTTTTTCAACAACTATAAAACTGTTCAAATCTTCAAAAATATTAAAACTAAAATTTTTTCCTCTTTATTTTATTAAAGTTAATAAAATTCTGAAAGAAATGACACCTTGACAAAGAGAATATGTTAATTTTTCAATTAGATATCTAAGGAAAACCCAATTTTCAATGTTTTTACTATTTTTTTTATTTCTCTGGCAAAAATTAATATTTTTAAACGTTCTTAGGCTCATTGAAATCGTATTTTGTTATGCAATTCAAATTATATAAAACAATTCATGTACACATTCTTCGCTAGCGTATGCAAACCGTGAAAGTAATTTAAAAGAAAAAAAAATTTTTTTTAACAAAAACTTTTAGGGATATGAGCCATTGAAGTGGCGCCTTAAGAAAAAAGGCGAATTGCGGTGACCAGCATTCTGCAAGTATACTTCGTCTGAAATACAAAAATGAAATTGATTTACATTTATTATAAGATTATCTAGTTCGTGATCGAAGGATTTAAAAAAAAAAAAAATTTGACAAAATGGCGACCTGTCAAAGTCAAAAGTATGATTTTCGTTAAAAAAATACGGTCGATTTTCAGCTATATAAAAAAAAGTTTTGCATAAAAAAAAAATCCTTCGATCACGAACTAGACTTATATGTGTAAATGAAGCACACTAAATTTTAAATAAATCGGTTTAATGGTATTCGAGTAATCGTGGTCACCGACTTGGAAAATGTCATTTTGAGAAAAACGTATTCAAAGTTTCAACTTACTTTTTTTTGTTCAGAAGAAATTTTGTTTCCAATTTACAAAGAGTCATCGATTCCTGGACCATATAATAACTCTTCCGCAGTGGTTGCCGTTTCTAAATCATAGGAAAAGGCCATCTGTCGTTAGGGTCAGGTATGGCTGGCCACCTTGTCTGAAGCCACGGGACGCGCCGCTGCAGTGTTCTGTATATCTCATTCATTTTTCACCGGATCAAGTTTAAAATTTACAGACACATTTCTAAATATGTATACTTTGTATACTATACTATACTTTGTATGTAGTTAAGAATTTTTAGTTAAGTTTAACTTAAAAAAGAAATTGAAACAGTAGTAAATACATAGAAAATAATTTTAAATATCCATGAAATATTTAATTTTATCTAAAATTTTGCCTTAAAATTATAATTAATACTTCAGAAACATACACTGTTTTGTCCCAAAACTCCACTGCATCTATAGCTTCATTTGATGAAAAGTTCATATTCTATAAAATAAGAATAAGTAAGTTTGTTATACAAGTGACGGGTAAGCGCAAGCAAAAATTTATAAAATTTGCTGTATTTATTTTAATTCCATCTTTTTATATTACAAATAATTCCTTAAAACATAAAAAAACTTCATTACAATAAAAATAGCAAATGTTAGCAATTATAGCCCCACTGATAAAAACGTTTAACATTTCTGGACCATTTTAGTAATATTGCGGGTAATATTATTGTAGGTATACTGTAGAATAAAAATATAATACATAATTAGAATTAATACATAATAATAATATGAATAATATATAATAATTTATAAATATAATTAATGAAAATATAACAATTTTCCTCCCGGAAAATCTGCCTAGAAATCAGTCCGGATTGTTTCCCACTCGGATTTTCGGTCAGAAAATTTTAAACAATCATCCTGATTTCTAAGCAAATTTTCAGGCGGAATTTGGGGCAAAAATTTTCACTCAGGTTAATAATTTTTTCCACAAATCATATTTTTTAACTTCTTTTTCTAATTTTAATGTAAATCTATTACATATATAAATAAAAGTATAATAATAATTTTTTTTAAATATAAAGTTACGTCTTCTAGTTTTGAATTTATGTAGATATAATTTTGGATCTAATATGAAATAATATGAAATTTTCTTTAGAAACATATCACATTTGACAACATACGCTTTTCAATTTTATAAAAGATAATTAAATTTCGAAGTATAGTGTGATAGATAAGAAGAAAGGTAAATAAACTGATGTTTACATGAATAAGTGCCTTAACCGTTACAATGAAATTAAAATTTTATTTTAAAATAGACGTTATTTCTCAATTTAAGAATACTTACTGATTTATTATTTTATTTGAGTTAAATAATTTTATTAATTTTTCTAATAACTAAAATAGCATTCATTAAATTAGAAGATGTAAAAAATACAATTATTTCCTTACATCCGTCTTTATATTACATTTAAAATTTTACTTTAGAATAAAATATTAATAAAATAAAATATTTTTACATTTTAAATACAATTTTTATATCTAATATATATATATAAACTCTAAAATCAAAAATTATAATTAGATAACTTTATGAATGAAACAATGTCACAAAATAATAAAAAATCTTAAAACTTACCTCAAATTTCACTTGAAGTGGAACACACTTACACCTTCCAAAAAAAGACTTAAAAGAATTGTTTCTTATAGCACAGTTTGCGTATGGTCCTCTACACGTGCTTCCTACAGCTCAATTCCCGAAGGAAAGAACGACTTGAAAGATCTAGTAGTAGGAGAGACTAAAAGGAGTGGATCAAAGTATATAAAAAGAGGGGATAAAGGGAGATACCAGCGAAGTACCATGACTTAAAATTTTAAATGCCTAACTATGAAATTGTAATATCTCAATTTTTATCTTTTAATAATATATCTATATATTAAAATGATCCATGCTTTAATAAAAATGATTCTGAAAAGTTATTGTATAAATTTTATAAGATTATAATTGTGTTTATTTTCATAAATTAATGGTAAAATTATATTAAATTTGGAAATATAATTCAATTTACACTCACAAACATGCACTAATATTAAAAAAATTTTAAAGCAAAATTTTTTTAATATACCTATAACTGCCAAAATTTGAATTTTATGAATTTTGAAGTATCCTTTTTTTATAAAGACCATGGCACTTACGGGGTTAAGAAATAAACAAATCTCCAATTGAGGCGTTGGGTGCAAGAAGGGCGTATAACAAAAACCGACAAACGGAGAAAATTCAAGTTAAACTTTTAAACTTTAATTATTCAAAAACTGTAAATGCAAATAATAAAAAAAATTTTATTCAATTAGACCTTTATTCAGCTATCAATTTCAAGTGTTAACTTGACTGGAAGTAGTGACTAACTATTGAAAAACAATTTTTTTCATAACTAATTTAAACGCCCTTCTTGCACCCAGCCATTAAATCAGTAAAATTTTTAATTTAAACTAAGAATAATTATAATTTTAACATATTTTTTCTATATTTTTTAAATTATTTATTTTCAAATATATATATATATATATATTTAAGGCTTTAATAATTTTTAATTTAAAAAGAAATATTTTTTGCATGAAAATTTAAAAAAAAATTTAAAAAGAAAAATTTTAAAAACTTTTTTTTTAGATTTTAATTGATAAATAATGTATTAATTATTATTGAGAAAAACAGTATTTATAAAATCTAATAAATACAAACTAAAAGTTAGAATAACCTCTTGTTCGAATTTTAAATGTTAGAATGACTTTCTGATCGAATTATTAAAAGTTCGAACTTTTAATAATTCTAATAAATAAACATTCGAAAATTGAGCTATTCGAACAAATAAACATTCGAACTTTTAGCTATTCGAACAAATAAACATTCGAACATATAATAATTCTAAC